GTGCCCCGGCGCGCTCTCCTGCGGCGCAGACTCGGTTGGAGCTCGGGCTGCAGAGAAACCTGGACGCGGAAAAGCAGCCGCGGCGCGGAGAGAGGAAGGAGCCCAGGCGTGGAGTGGTGAGGGGTGGGCTCGGGCAGCCAGAGGGAGAAAAGGAGAGCGAACTTACTTTTCCCCCGAGGGGCAAGAAGGTTCCAGCGCACTCGGCCCAGGCCTGGGAAACAGGTTCCCAAGCGCTCACCATCCCCGGATCTATCCCGGCTGCCCGCCGGGGACAGGAGATGCTTGGGAAGCAAAGACAGGGACAGCGGGCAGTGGCACCTCCCTGGGGCTAAGGCCTCGGGGAGAGTCTGGGACTTCGCCGTTCTCTGTACAAAACAAAAGCCAAATTCTCAAAAATTTGAGAGGGAAATAATGATTTTTAAAAATCATTTTTTTTCTTTCACTTTTAACAAACCGTGTGCTGGGAGAAAAATTAAAAACTAAATGAGTGATTGCTCAGGACACTGTCCACAAATTGTGAAATCCCCTGTTCAAAAATATTTTCCCCAAGGCCAACCCCACGACTGGCCAGCCCTTTGCTTCTTCCTGAAAATCACAACAAAAACAATAGGAAATGCAGCCACGGTCCTGGTAAGTAGGAGTAGCCGTGAGGCCCAAGGAACCCACTGCGGCCGAAACTGCCGTGCTCTTCCTTTCTCTTTAACCAAAAAATAAAAAAGATAAGAAGAAGAAGTAAAACCTTTTAATACATCAAATATACGGAATTTTAATCTTTAAAGCGATACATTGTCTATTATTTTAGTACATGACGTAAACCTTACTTGTCCCCTTCTCAGCGGGTGGACTTAAAAATTAAAAATAGTTGTGTTCCTTTTAAAGAACAAAATAAGGCAAATGAGGTTTTGGAATAGAATTGTTTTTTCCTTTTTTTTTTGTTTTCTTCCAGAATACATACAAAAAAATACCCATTCTCTTTCGATGGTATACACCTTAAAAATAATTGCAATTTGAAATCAGAGCTGACAAATTGTGACTTGTTTTGTTTTTTCATTTTTTGTAACAAACATGCATGTAAATTTGTGTTTCAATCAGACATTAAATAAGAACGTACAATACAATAATAGCAATTTTAAAGTAACATTAAAGAGAAGACCTCTAGTTCTGTGGCGGTTTTGTATTTATTTATAATCTACAAGGGACGGGAGGGTTTGTTTTCCACATTTTTACCCTCAAGATTTAATTTTTTTTTTTTTTTTTTTTTACCCCTCCTCCTTTTTACCTACGGAGCTCAAACTAAATAATGCACTTTTGAACCACGGGTCCGCTTGGAGCTAACATAAATAAATACCAGTGTCCACCGATGCAGTCCTCAGATGAACACTTTCTCAATTAATTTTTCCTTCTTTTTCTATAAAAAGTCAAATGATATTTTTTCAACTTTTATAAAGTTTGGGTGGGTGGGGAGGTGAGAGGTCGGGGGAAAGGGGAATTTCCCACCGGGTCTCGGTCGCTGTTTTGGGTAGATAGATACGGTATATATATTTTTCCTTTTCTGGCCCGGGTCATCCCCACGCGCGGCTGACAGTAGCCTCTCCCCTGTTCCCACCCTTCCCTCGGCTCCTCCCTCCCCCCTGCTCCTTTCTCTCCCTCGCTAACCCTCCCCACCGCCCTCACTGATACCCCAGCGCCGAGGCCGTGGTCAGTCTCTGTCCGTAGAGGGCGTAGGGGGAGTAGTAGGGTCCGGTGGCGGCGGGCACGGGCACAGGAGCGCCGGGTGTGGGGAGCGGGCTCTTGGAGTAGGGGTGGTAGCGGCTGCTGAGTCCCAGCGCATGGTGGGGGCTGCGCAGCGCCAGCGTCCCGGGACTGCCCGGAGCGCCCGACGTGGGGATGTGCATGTGGCAAGCCATGGCGGCCGCGGCAGCGCTGGCCAGAGACGATGAGCTAGGGTAGCCCGACAGCAGTTTGTCTGTCCCGGGGAAGGCCGTATGGGTCCGCAAGTGGCTCAGCAGCTCTTCGGACGTGGCGAAGCGCTTGTCGCAGGGCCCGTTGGCCGACACCCAGTTGCAGATGTGGGGGAGCGGGTCGTTAGGGAGCATGAAGCCGTAGGGGTAGAGGGGGTGGCCGGCCAGGGAGGGCGGTGTGGCTCCGGCAGCGGCGGCAGCTGTTAGCGATGAGTGCACGCCGTGCAGCGGGTGCGTGGGGTACACCAGCGGGTATCCTGACTTGAGCGCCGCGGCCGCCGCGGCCGGATCGTGAGCGCACGAAGCGCTGGCTGCCGCCGCCCCTGCCAGGTGGCTGGCGCAATGGTAGCTGAGGCAGTACGGGTCCCGGCACAAACTGGCTGTCATCACGGATGGCGGCGACGCCCCGGCCAAGGGGCTGGAGCCGGCCGGCTTACTGCAGCCCAGAGAGCCCGCCGCGGCCGCGGCCAGTTGCGCCCCCACCAGGCTGCCTGGCTTGGTGGGGTCAAGTGCCACGCCGTGTGGCAGGAATTGGGGCGGGTAGCCAGCGTAGGCCCCAGCCAGGCTGCCTGGATAGGTCATGCCCGCAGGAGGCAGAGGGAACACTGTCTGGCCCGGCTTGTAGGGCGATACCGGAGCCACCAGCCCAGAGCCCAGTACCGAGGAGGAGGTGGGCGCGCTGGGGCCTGAACCGGAGCTGGAGCCGGATGAGCCGCCGCAGTCTGAGCCTAGAGCCTTGCCCCCGGGGCCCCCATCTGGGTGCTGGTTAACGTCCACATTAATCCCTCCGCCGCAGCTAATCCGGCCGTGCGCCAACCCCGTGGGTCCCCCTTCGGCCGAGGTGCCCCCGGAACCCTTGCTGCTGCCACCGCCGCCGCCCACGTCGGGGTCCTTCTTGTCGTCCTTGCCCTCCGGGCCGCCCCCGGCCGAAGGCAGCATGCCTCCTGGCGAGCAGGCCGAGGCGCTGGAGCTTGGGCTGCCTGTCCTGGGCGTGAATGGCTGGCAGGTGGCGCTCGGTACCCGGAATCCGGACTTCTCTGCTGAAACCCCCCCGCCGCCGCCCCCGCCACCACCGCCTCCGCCGCCGCCGCCTCCCGGCTCCTTCTTATCCGAGCCGGGTTTGGAGTACGGCTTGAAACTCGACTTGTCCTCCACGCCGATGTCGCTCAGCTTGAGGGGGCCCGACTTTGCGTCCTTGTCGCCCCCGGCGCCGCTGCCGGCACCGCCCGCGCCGCCCCCATTGGAAGCGACAGAGGAGAGCTTGGAAGAGGGCGAGGGGTCGGGCTTCCCGATCTGTGAGCATGTTTGCGCCAACAGCGCCAGCGGGCTCTTCTTGGCATCAAGCTGCGGGGTCAGACGTGGGGTTGGGGGGTGGCACAAAGAGAAAGAAGGGGAAACCCTTTAGAATCCTGGCTTCTAGGGTTCAAACGCCCTTCCGCAACCGCCAGTGAAGATCCTCCCAGCTCTAGGCGCAGTTCTAGGCAGCACCACTTCACCTCCCCCCAAACGGACAGACAGACACACACACACACTCGCCCTTGAGAAAGGCGGCAGCCTCCCCCCACCCCAAATCAGGATATTTCCTGCCGTTTCTAAGCGCTAACTGTATATTTAAAAATACTAAATGTTTTGGTTTCTGACTCTTAGACCCAGAACTATACCTTATCCCCCCCCCCCCCCCCCCACATTCCCAATTCTTCAGAGTAAGGGCTTGGGCAGTTGGCGCCTTAGAGGCTGTGTACAAATACCAGCTTCCCGGGAATCTTAAGACTGCGACTTCGCAACCGCATTTCGGACTTACGCCCGTCTTCCGGGCCGAAAGTGAGGGGGCCTGAGTCGGGGTTGGGGCTTTAATACCAAAGAGAGATACAAGTTTTGGCTGCTTTGTCCCCTAGCATTCACACCCCATTCTACCTCCTCCCCCCTTTCCGCCCTAGTTTTGCGATTCGAGAGCACTATGCTCTCCCCCATACCGGAGCTGAATCACTCCGACCCCCCCCCCCACTCCCACCCCCAGATCCCGAGAGAAAGAAATCCCGTGGAGCGGCAGCCAGGGTAGTGGTCCCAGCGCGATCCCGGAAGAGGGTCCTTACCTCGATGGGGCTGACGGGAGTGGAAGGCAGGGGCTGCAGGTACTCGGGGTGCAAAATGTGGCCAGTCCGTGCCGTCAGCATCTTCAGCACCTTGATGGGCAGGCGGTTAGCCTGGCGGAGAGGGTCAGAGGGGGGCACAGCGTGCACAAAAGGCTTGGTGCTGCCGGCCGGGGACGAGCCTTGGCCGGGGCCGGAGCTATTTCCAGAGAGCGCGCTGGTCCAGGCAGGGTCCGCACTGCTGCCGCCGCCGCCGCCGCCGCTGTGCTTACTGCTTCTTAGGGCAGAAAGCGAGGGCGCTGTGCTCATGACCCACCCGCACGCATGGGAGCAGCGGGGGGAGGGCTCCGGGAGGCGCGGGGCGGGCTCCGGGCTGCGCGCTCGCCCGGGGAGCAGAAGCAGTAGGAGGAGGAGCAGCTGGCGCGGCGGCCACGGGCACCCAGCGCGCCTTCTCGGCGCCTGGAGCCAGAAGCGAATAATCCTGGGTGGCCCGCAGCGGTGCCGTGGCCGAGCGGGAGGAGCCGGCCGGACTGTGGGAGTGCCGGGTGGCTCGCCGTGTCCGCCTCGGGCTGTGCCCCTGCGCTGCGCACTGGCGACCCGGCGCTGGCGCTGCGCTTGGCGATGTGAGCCGCTGCCTGTCCAGCCGGGGCTCTGGCGAGGAAACTCACTTCAAAAGCAGCTGCACCGAGGGGGAGATTAAAGCCTTTGCCGCCTTCCAATCAAATGGGAGCCCGAGGTGATTGGAGGGTCAAGGGGATGTGACGCGTCCCGCGCCGCCGCCGCCGCCGCCGCCAGGACTCTCAGCGCTGGTTTTAATGGGCAGCTCCTTCTTCACCGCCCCCCTCCCGCGTGTCCCCTCCCTCGATTTCGCTCCGAGGACGAGCTGGACATTTATTCTGCGTTTGCTATCTGCCGCCTCCCTCTTTTTTCTTCCTCGTCGTACTTCCTTTCCCTAGCTCGAAAATAAACTGAAACCTTTTTTTGCAGGAGGGTGCGTATGAGGAACAGATTGAGGGGGTGACCAGAAGGAGCAACGGCGGGAGTCTGGACAACGGCCGGACTTTCAACTCCAGGGGCTGCACAGGGGACCCAAACACCAAATATTCTGTCTCGCTCTGTAATTGAAATCTCTCGCGGCGCGGCCGCCAGGGTAAGGAAAGCTGCGGAGCGGGTGACGGAGGAAGTGCGCCCGCCCGCTTTGATTCCTCGAGATTCGGCAGCAGAGAAACCAGAAGCTAGGTGGGCCGCGGAGGCGGCGGCGGCTCTTCTCCCGGCTGTGCGCGGGGCTCCCAGCCCTTCCCAGCCACGTGACTCCCGGGGACGCGCAGATTGGGGCTGGAGCGGGGGTCACATGTTTCCTCTGTTTCACACTCAGGCTTCTTTCCCCCCCCCATTCTTACTCTCCCCTGCTACCCTCTCTTCCCCTCTCTCCCCCTCTCTTCAGTTCTTTGGGCATCTCCACCCCTCCATCAATTGTCAATGTTCCTCGACCGCAATCAATCAGTTATTTGTCAGCTCTTGTCAATCCGCCCGTGATTTATGTCAGCTTTTGTTGCTGATTACAAGGCGGGTGCGACTTGAAGGGAAAAAGAGAGAGGGAGAGAGAGATGGAGAGTAAGGAAGAGACCAAGGGGGAACCAGCGGAGGGGGAAAGAGGAGCAGTCTCCTGGGATGGGGTGGGGGTAGCTCTAAGAAAAAGAATGAAAGAGAGGAAAAGAGGCTCTCTGTGTCAGGAAAATGAATAGTGAGAGTAAAGTGCGCAGGTGTGCCCAGGGCGCTGAGAGGGCTGCACAGGCCTGAGGTGTGCGCCTCGCCCTTCTCGGTGTGGAAGAAAGATACACCTTTTCACCTCTGGGACTTCGGTCTGTTGGGGCCGCGGCGGGAGGACCTGCCCTGGGTACCCGAGACGGGCGACGGCGATGTCTAAGATGGGAGATATTTTTGTCCCTAGGATAGTCCTTTGGGAGCATAGGGATGTCAGGCTGCCAGCCTTCCGCGGACCCACCCTTCGTAGTGCCCCGACCCCAAACTCAGACTTCTTTCTAAGAACCACACCGCAACGTAATTTTGAGTCCTGGAGGTCAGTGCTGGGGTACCTCCTCCCCGACTTAAGTCTCTGACCTCCCTTCGGATCGTGGCTAGGGCTGAGAGGCTGCGAAGAGGCCTGGCCATGGGTGTGCGGTGGAGTTGTCTCAGGCTGACTCAGGTCTCCTCTCCAAACCTCTCCCACCCTGCAGTATCCCCACAGGCTTGGTAGCCGGGGTTACTCTGGGCTCCTCGCTCGAATTTATAGGAACGCCATGCCAGGACTGACCTGCGTTGGGAAAGCAGAGGGAAGGAGCGAGAGCGGGAGGGGGCGGCTGCCGGTAGGAACTTGGGTCTTCCAGGGAAGCGGAGCGGGACTGCCGTGTTCCCCTCGATTTGCACCGTCACTCGGGCGGTTTGGAAGGAAGAGGGGAGGCGCTGTGCCTGCCTCTGTGTACCTGGAGCTGGGTGCACAAGTGTGTACGGACGTCCGTGCAGCTGTGTGAGTTGTCAGGGCTTTGGTAGCGTCCGGAGCGAGTTCGGAGGTCGCCTCCAGAAACTCGCAGAAACTGGAAGGGGGCAAGAGGAGGACACAACCCCTTCCTCGGAAGGACTTGGACGACTTTGAATCTCCCCTCCCCCACTTTTCCGCCCGGGCTCTTCTTTTGTTGTCAAGTCCTTTGATAAATGGTAGGACAGGGAGCGCGGGGAGCCAGAAGCCAGTCTGTACCCGCGCGGGGGCCAGGGGCTGGCTCTGGCGACCCGGTTTCCTTCGGCGCTGAGCCCCTACCGCGGGGGCGAGTCTGGGACCTGCCCTCCGCAGGCTCGCCCTCTCCTCTCTCACCACCCCCTTCCCTCCCCCGCCCCCTTTTTTGGGTCTCTCTTCCACTCCATACAGGTACCGAGAACTTTCTGGGGGTGAGTTTTAGAATTTTCTCGTAGGCATTCTTTTCCTGCGTTTTAATCTTATCCCTTGATTCTTTAGGTTGGTAAACTTGATGAGATTTAACTTGACCAAAGATAATTTGGAGAAGAGCGAAGTGTGTATTTTGGGCTGCTGTTTGTCGGTGTGCGTGTGTGCGTGCGTATAGGTGTAAGAACACACCTGCGTTCAAGGGGATTTGGTGTCTGCCTGTGCGGAGGTGAGGAAGGTGAGTCCGTGACACGGTGGTGAGGCCACACGCGAGGTTGTGAAGGTTGTGTGAATCTTTGGGGAGCGAGTCCCAGATGCCCGTTTCTGAGGGCAGGACCGTCCTAAGCTGTCTCTGCAGGGCAGCATGTGGGGGAGGCCGCTTGTATCCTGCGGGTGTGTTAGCGTCTGTGTCATTGAGTGCGCGGCTGTCGAGGTGCCGGCCGGAATCATCTGTGGAGCTCCCAGCTCCGCGAGCCCAGCCGTGGGTCGCGCGTCGCCACAGCCTCCTCGCGAGGCCTGGACACTGAATGCTGCGGGCGGGGGCCAGAGCTGGAGGGGACAGCGGGTGTCTCCTCTCGGCCCCCCGCCCCCCGACAGACTCAGTTCTCTCTCCTGGAATTCCAGCAGCTTTCTCTTTACACCGGGCAGCTCAGGGGCGGCAACCCCAGCACCTAAAGCCTGGGGGGAATCAGAGTGTGGGCCCCGCGTGCCCCAGAATGGGCGTGCCTCGGTGTGGCGGCACACGCTCGCAGGCCTGCGCCTTGCGGCGCGCGCGCGCGGGTCGTGGTCCGCATGCGTTCGCTCTTCGCAAACCCCAACTCCGAAGGTCCGAGCGCACGGGGGCGCCTGGGGGCCTGCGCGTCCCGGGCTTTCGGGCGGCGCAGCATCCGAGCCTGCGCCCCTCGCCGGGGAGGCCAAATCCCTGAAGGCCTTGCAGGCCTTGGGGGTGGGGGAATTATTAATTACTCAGCACTAGGCCTAAAGCCTCCAACCCCAGCGGCGGTTGGCGTGGATGTCCCGCGGATTTTATTTGCACACAGTGTAAATGATTTGTTTTCTCTAAAAAAGGAGTGGGCATGGCAGATATTTGAGGAGGGGGTGGGAGGAGAAGGAAGGCGAGAGAGCTGAGGAAAAAAGTTTGAAAATGCCTTGAACTATTCACTGTCGAGATGGCTAATCAGTATTGAGGCCGGAGGGCAGGCGGGCCGCCTTTCACCGTCGCTTCCCTTTCATCTCGGGCTCGGCGGAGGCGCTCAATTAAAAGCCTATCAGTTTGTAAGTAAATCAACGCCTATCAGAGTTGTCACATCAAACAAAACGATTATTATTGCAGCCCGCCTCCCCTATTAATCTCCCTCGAAGATAATCCGCCTGACAGGTCAGGCCCGGCGAGCTGGAAAGCCTGGCCCAGAGCGCCCAAACAGTCCGGGACTGGCGCGCGCCCCTGGGGGCCTCCCCACCACGGTCCCGCCTTGTGGTCCCCCGGGTGGGGGGAGAGTAGGAGCGGAGGCCGCTGGACGCAGGCCCGCCCCTCCGGACTGGGAGCGGGGCCCAGATTCGCAGGGTTGGTGGGGGACGGTCTCGGGCGGCCCTCACCTCTTCTCTGGCCTGCGGTGGCACCGGGCCTGCCAGAGCCACGGTCTGGCCTGGTCCCAGGGCCTCGCCATGGCCTGTACTCTTTTCGGCTCGCCTCTCCTGGCTTTTTCTCCCCCCCCCCCCCCCGCTTCTCTTTTTTGTTTCCTCACCCGCTTCTTTCTAGACTCCCTAACCATTTTATTCTTTTTTCCTCCTCTTTCTTTCCCCCTTTTCCTATTCGACGGGGAATATTTCGTATTCTCTCTCTGTCCTCTCGGTATACCGTATATACCACTTCGGCGCAGTCACACTCTCTGAAGCAGGACATTCTCAGGGCCCGGGTTATTTCTCTGCGGCAGGGCTGCCTCAGGAGTGTGTGCAATTCCCAGGAACTCCTGACAAATTCCTGCCTAATTTCTCCCAAGCAGGGGCTCTTAGAAGCTCTGCGACTGTGCCAGGGTTGGGTGCGTTTGGAGGGGTGAGAAGAAAGGACCAGGGCAGTGTGATGGTTGGACGGTTGCAAGCGCCCTATTCTGGAATAAGTATTTGGCCTTGGAGTTTCACAACTGCGACGTCGCGGACCTCGCTCTCGGTTTTGCCTGAGCTTTGCAAATATGTGGAGGAGACCCTCGGGGCATCTGGGCTTCAACACTGAGGATTTGGGGGGCTGCCTAACACTTAATAAGTAAATGCAGTCAGATAATCACTTCCATGGCTTCAAACCGGGCCGGGGCGGGGGGGCAGATTCCGCACGGACTCGAAATCGTGGCCTTCTCCGGTGTCCTCTAGCTTTGCGCTTTGAGACACTGGGAACCAAGCGCGACCCGTACTTTTCCGCACTCTTGGTCCAGATTGATAGGCCCAAATGGCCACTGCCCGAGCCCGGTGGAGCTAGGATTGTGGGGTCGTTGAAGTAGCTAAGGGGGAAAGGTCTGCCGGCATGACCCCAGGTCCTATATTACCCCAAATGCCAGGTTCCGCGCCCGATGAAGTCTCCCTCTCCGAGCGTGTATCCGGGAGAACCCCGAGGGAAGGTAGTGTTGGCCGTCTGGGCCGAGCCTCTCCCAGCTGTCACGGCGTGGTCCGAGGTCGAGGGTATCGAATAGAGCCTGTCTCAGCGTGTTCGGTGTCCAGAGCTGCAGGACCCGTGGCTCCCACCCCGGGTTCTCGAAAGCCCCCCTATTTGTGCACACCTTCCACAGCCGACCTGATAGTAATATTTATTTCCATACCCGGAAATATTGTAGCGATGCAGTTCAATTATCTGTGACTGCTCTTCTTAAATGTATTTATTTCACCTCTGCCATGCCGCAGATATCTAAAGAGGTACACATAGTGCATCCTTCAACGTAGCAAAACTCACTCTGGTTATAGGAAATATTCGCTGGGTGGTTATTTGGACATAAGGCTATCTCGAGCCCGAATTGCACTCAAGCAGGAGCTGTATATATATATATAAAAAAAAAGCACTTGCTCTAGAATTTTTCCAACTTAACTATGTACACACAATAATTTAATAACATTTTATATCCCTCTATAGATCTAAATATTCAAATGTTATGTTACATGCCCTTGAAACCGGAAGCGATCTTCCGTTTACACTGGACGTGGAGCTGTTTGTATAATGTTCATCTCCCTGCACTTACACATGAATCTTGATCTAATAAATTCAACCTTGTCATTTTTAGAATCGACGGGATTTCTCTGCGGTTTTCGCTGCCTGTATCCGAATAAATTCAGCTCGCAGGCATCCGGCAGGAAACGGCTCCCGGTTCGAGTGTACGCAGACGCATCGGCCCAGCACGGGACGCGAGGTGGCTCCTGGTGATCGTGCGGCTGTAGGTCCGGCCTCCGAAGGAGGCTAGACTATCAGCGCCCTCAGGCCGGGAGCGGCCCCTTGCTGCCCCGCAGTGCCGAGCACCCCCTCCCCCCGCCCCCCCGCCGCTCCCCCCCCGCGGTGCTTCGAAAACCTGCCCAGCTGAGTCCGCCCGCGGCGAAAACTGAAAGCAAATTCCGCGGCAAATGAAGCCCGAACTTTCTTCGACGCAACTTTGCCAAAATGATTCGGTGGCGACTTAGGATGGCGCGCGGGTGTGTGCGTGCGCAAGGTCGGGGCGGTGGGCGAAGAAGGCTTGCGGAGGCCGAGCCTGGCCCTAGGCGAAACGCTAGGGAAGGCGCCTCCCCTTCCTTATTTCTCGCCAACTCCCCGGTCCCAGTCCGTAAAAATAGTTTCCCATGTGTAGCGGACGCCCAGGATGTGTTTGTGGGGATAGCACCAGGAAGAAGGAAGCTTTGTAAAAGTTGCAGAAAGAGCTTTGCCCAGAAGCGTCCGCGAGCAGGGCTCAAGAAAGCTGGGAACCAGCTCGCCTTCCCCAGGGCGGAATGCCTAGAAATCGGCTTGGGGAGCCCCCAGCCCAGTCCCCTCCCCTCCCGTCGAACCCGCGCGTAAATAACCTCCGGCAGTCCGCGCTGGAAACTCACAAGCGCGGCGCCGCGGTTGGCTGGCGAGGTCGAGACGCTGAGCTGGCCCGCAAGGCCGCTCCTTGGCGCGCTCAGCCCCAGCCCTAAGGGAGGCTTGCACCGAGGTGAGAGGACGAGTGTGGTTTCAGCTCCTGCTCGGCTGCCTAGACCATCACCGCCGACCTCCCAACTCCCTGGAGTGGGCGCTTCCCCCCTGGGAGCGGCAGTCTTGGGGGGCTGGCGAGGGCACAAAGTGCGCGCGCGGGCCCGCGCGGGGGTGAGGGGCGGCTGCCGGTCGCTCCGCAGGGCCTGTCGCCGGGCCGGCCGCGGCGGGTGAGTGATGAGGGCAGAGAAGGGCGCCCATAAATCGCGGGTGTCAGGGCGAAAAACTCTCTTTATTGTCTGCGTGATGGATGGGCCCGGGGACGAGACACCAAATACTTCGTATCGCCTTTAAATGGGAACACATTTTCCGCGGCCATAATTCATGTTTTTTAAATAGAAAGTTTGAAATGTTGCCTATATTTCACCGGCCCTGACATATTTATGAATCGCTCCCTGCATGCAAATATCATTATTTAAAGCGCCAGGGAGAGCTCAGGGGGGAGGGGAGGAGGCACGGCCCCCGTGGCGTGGGGGTGGTGAACCGGGGAAATGCGGATGGAGGGGGGGCGTGCATCTCCCTAAAGTGCGGACAATGAGGCGCGGGGTAAAGCCTTATCCAGAAGCCGAGCGCACCGGGGGCTCCCCTCTGGACCGATCACTGCCGCTCCGGGAAGTTTGAGCGGCTTGGACCGAGGGACAGGCCTCCGCCCCCTGCGGGGAGGCCCGGGGGGCCTTTTGCGTCCCTCTCCGAGGCCCTAATCCGAGCCAAAGCCACCTTTTCCAAGAAGAAAATGTTTTTTTTTTTTAAATAAAAGAATTTAACAAACGCAAATAATAACAATCCAACATGTTTCGTGTTCTTTGCATTTGCATTGATTTTATTGATTTTCATTCTGCAAACCTCAGACTGTGCGCGCCCGGGAGGAGCTACTGTCAGATCCCAGTTACCGCGGGGAGTGGGTGGGGGATAACCCTCTGGAGCTGCAGCCTGGACCCAACCAGCTCACCACCTCCCAGGCACAACAGAGCCTGCGCAAGACGCGGGGACACAAATGATCCGGCTCTCAAGCTCTGGGGACTTCAGTCCCGCCCCCTCTGCTTCCCCAATGCAATACAGCGCTCCTGGGGTCCGCGTCCGCCCACCCCGAACCCCACTGTGAATACAGTCGCTTTGGAAAAAAGCTGGGCACGTGCCGTAAGCCTCTCCCTTGCCCGTCCAGCCTGGGAGGCACCCACACCTGCGTCCTCAGTAACCGAGTCTTTACCTGTGCGGTTCCCCGCGGCGCCTGCCGCCACGCTGGTAGCAGAGGAATGAAAAGGAGGACCGGGGAGTGGGAGGGACAGAGCACTGCCCGAGACAGCCAGATACGCAGACCCGGGTCCTCCTCCTCGGACCAGGCGTTGGGGCCCTGACTGAACTCCCTCTAGGAGCGGAATCGCGAGGGGTAGAACCGGCCAGTGGAACCGGCATCACGAGGGAGCGGTGGGCCGGGCGGCACTTCCGCTGGGGGCGGGGCCGCGGGCTCTGGCGCCGGCCCCGCCCCTCCGCGGCGCCGGCCCGCCCCCAGCTCGTCAGGCTCCGCCCCCGCTGGCCGGGCAGCTTGATCTCAGGCGGGCGCCTTCGCGGGAGGGCAATGGCGGCTCCTCTTCCACACCTGGGCGTCCTGTCTTATGCCTTTAAGTCATAGGCACACGAACACATGCACACTAACAATCTCGGCCCAAACTCGCACGTTAAGACTTTGTCAAACTTTGATCTCTTGGTACTCCCGAGACCTGCCTGGCCCAGGGGTTCTCAAACATTTTCTGGAACCGGCCAGTCGTCCTCCTGAAGCAGTAGGGAATGCATATCCGTGATCATGTTCTTTCAGGAAGTACAAGAACAAAGGTTAACACTTTCTGAGTGTTTGCTTTATGCCAGATACTATCTAAAACTGTATGAATTATATCCTCACTTTAAGTCTCTGAGGTGAGTACCATGAATGCCCTGTTTTATAGATAAAGAGATTGAGGTACGTAGAGAAGAGATGGGTCTTGTCTCACTCCCATTTCATCCATATCCTTATCCCTTCTTTTCTTTAGATCTTCAGCGTCTCCAATCTATCACTCTGGGGGAATCTTGCTGGGCTTTTACTAACCTATGGAGGGGAGTTCCCAATTAGATTTTAAGATTCTCGCTCCCCTCCGCACTTTTCCTTACCCTGGTGGCTGCCAGGAGAAATTTCAATTACTGAGCAGCTGAGGCCTTGCGGAACTGGACCTGCACAGAGGTGGCGAAAAGTATAAATGTGATGGGTTCAACTCAGCCCCCAGCAGCTCCCAGCCTGATGGGGAAATGGGACCAGTGAGCATCCCCCCTTGTTTTCCTGCAGTCCCTGCCAAAACCAGAATGATCTTAAAAAAAAAATATATATATATATATCACTCCATGTTTCTCTTCTGCTCAAAAGCCTGCGTTCTCATTGTTTTTAGGATCAAGTTGAGCCCATGGCTGGCAGGTCTCTGAGACTTGATTTGCTTCAGCTTGCCTTTCTGCCTTTGTGTGTCTCCTACTTCCCTTCAACCTGAGCTGCTGGAATCAATGGCTACCTTCTGGTTACTCAAATGTGCCCTGTTACTCCCTCCCTCAGGACTTTGCTAATGCCTTTCCTTCTATCTGGAAAGTCCTCTGTCCTTCTCTTCACCTGGCTTACTACTTTTTTTTCATGTCTCAGCTTACACACCACTTCCCTGCACCCTCCCACTTGGTACTGAGTTAGGGCTCCTGTCACTCTCTCAGAGCACTTACCACACTGGGGATTTCCTATTGAGAGGCTGTCCCCTTCACTGGATGGTAACTCTAAGGGGGCATGGACAGGGCCTATTTCTTCAAGGAATGAATGAAGAAAAGAGCATTTGTATGTACCATCAACTGTGCTAAATGGATGAATAATAACTTTTGGGGTTCGTTGCACTTTGCAGGGCCACCAGTAAGTATTCTCTATGGTCTCAAATCCTAAGATGTTTTCAATTTAATAAGGGGGATAAAAAAGTTCTCGTGAAAATGTTATTTTGAACCTATATGTTGTAAATATCAACTAAGTGAATGCTCGAGGGGGTTGGAGAAGAGAAATATCTACGGTTTCCCAGCCATTTATTCAGATTTTCAAAGTGCAATATGTGCTAGCTGACACAGGTGAAAGGAAAACACTGCCCCCCCCAACCCATGACCACCCCTCCCACTATTCAGGCGTGTATGTCCCAAGGCTGCAGCTAGGGCTCTTTTTTATCTTTCTCACTTCTCATATTATAGCTATCATAGTTCAGTACCCTATTAGCTCTTGACTGAGCTGCTGCTACAAGAACCTTCTAATTGTTTGTTCTCAGCCTCTCTTGCCTCTAATCCATTATACATACTCTTGCTAGGTTCCTTTTCTTGATCACATCATTCCCTTGCCTCCATCTTCATGAAATCTTCAGTGGCTCTGCATCATCCACAGGAAACTCTTGACTCTTCATAATCTGGTTCTAAACTACTTCTAAAAAGTTTTAAGGTGCGTTACAAAATTATGAACGAAACATGTTCACTTCAACCAGCAAAGCACTCAAAGATATATAAAGACAAACTTTATGATCTCACCCATCTCCTCCCCATTTCCCACCCAGTTTCCTGAGATATCCAGGATGTACAGCTGGGATGTAACTTCTATCCCTTTCTCCACACTCACCATGCTCAGATAAACTATGCCCACATATATGGGACTATTATGTTATTGCTTGTTTATACAAACAATGAATATATTAGAGCTATCTGTTCCTCATTCTTTCTTGATAACAAATGGGTCTATAGGTATAGAGGTAATTTATTTATATTTAGCTGCATAGTATTCCTTAGGATGAAGATACCCACTTATTCAACCATTCCCCTGTTGATGGTCATGAAGGTTGTTATCAGGGTTTTGTTTTGTTTTTTTTTCACTAACAAAATTTCTTGAGTCTCTATTCTTGTGGTCAGTGATTTTATTTCCATAGGATAGATTACAAAAGTGCAGCTGCCTATACCCCAGCCAGATCTAATTTCTTTGTTCTCACCACATGCCCTGTATTGTCCCATTCCTTGTGTCACCTTTCCCTGGAAGTCCCTTGTCCCCCATGCTTGCGTATCTAACTTCCAATCCTGTAATCCCCAAGTCTGATACCAGAATTTAGATTTGTGGCTCAATATCCACCTTCCTCCTTTTTCCTAAGCTTACCACTGTAGCAACGTGCTGGGCCCAGTGTCTACACCAATCATGACAATCCTATTTTCATTTCTCCTAATTCTCAGAGCTAGGGATGGTCAAGTGACCCAGTTTTGCAAATGAGACACCAGTAGAAGTATGGAGGGGAAGCATTGGGAAACACTCTTGTTTACCTGATCAAAGGAGGTGATGCAGATGTTTTGACACTTTCCCTTCCCCTCTTTCTCTTTTATTCCTTCTATGAACTTGGATATAATATCTACAGCTGTGGCAGCCACCTTGTGATCATGAGGAAAAGTCCAGGAGACTGGCAGAGAGACACTTAATCTTGACATTACTGGGACACTGAGCCATCTCCAGTAATGATCCACCCCCCAAATTTTTCTGATAGTAGAAAAATTAAATTCCTATTTGTTGTCAGTGACATTGAGGAGTTTTATATTTGCAGTCAAGCATATCTTTTACCTGTCCCCTTTGGCAAATCTTATTTCCACTGGTGTTATCATTATTGGGATAGTACCAGAGGGGTCCAAAAAAGGTAGAGAAAGCTATTAGAGACTTGCCTTCAAACATTTTTGAAGGATAGTATTTTAGAATAGTCAAGTAGCCAGTCATACCTTTAACCCTCAGTGTCACTGTAAACTATTGTATCGTGGGCATGTAATGCTTTTGTTTGTTTGTTTGTTTGTTTTGTTTTACCTTTTCTGCCTGCCTATCATCTGAATCTCCTTCCTCTTTGTTGTAATGCAGGGCCTGCTTCCAACCACAAAAGTTGAAGGGGCAACATCCTCCCTCTTCTACCATCAGCTCAGTCCTCAGCTTCCCCTCCCTTATCTCCATTTGAGTAGATCACAGTGCTATCAGCATGTGGTGAGCTCTGGGGTCCAACTGCTTGGTTCCAAAGAGCAGTACTGCCACATTTCCTAGATGTGTGACTTGGGGCGAGGTTCTTAACCCGTCTGAAGTCTTGGTTTCCTCCTGTGCAAAATGGATATAATAATGGTACTTCTCTCTCAGGTCAATGGGTAAATTAAATGAGACAATGCATGTGCCTGGCACATAGAAAGTGCTCAAAGTGATGATGATGATGATCCCCCTGTGTTCTTTCTTACCTCTGAACCCCTGGGGTGTTGTTGGTGCCACTCATCTGACAATTATTTACTAATTGATGATATCTTTCATTAGCTATTTAAATTCATATTTAAATTCATATTGTTTAACTTTGTGTGTGTGTGTTCAAGTTCCCAGTTAGATTTTAAGATCCTCCAGGCCTAACCAGATGCTTTCTTTATATTCCTAACTCAGACTAGCAGAGGGCTAAGCTAAAGTAGGCATGAATGAACTTATTAAAATGAGTAATAAAACATCTAGTGCCCCCAAAGATGTATAGTCCTTTCCATGATTTCTTTTAATCCTCCCAACAGTCCTAGAAGGCATGTAATGTTGTTCCCATTTTACAGATGAGGAAACTGAGGTTCATAGAGAGGAAGTCATTTGCCCAAGTTCCAAAGGTCAGTGCTCTTTCCTGCCTCAAAATGGCCTTCTTCTGGTTTCAGAAATTCTGGCAATGCCTCCCTTTCATGCTCTCATGTCCAAACTCACCTTTTCTGTCAGCCCAGTTCAGCATCCCTGCCAGCTCTAACAT